GAGCTTGGATCGAACTTTTGCCGATAATACTCTCTTTATGTTCTTCCAGCGCTTCGAGTGCAGAGCCAACAGCCATTCCTCCATCTGATTGAACACGGAAAGCTCAACTCCAAGTGCAGTGCCGCCTTCCTCAATTGCTTGATGCACCGCAGGCACCCTATAAAGATCGTGGAAATTTATGCAGGCTGCCGCCCGATCAAGACTCCAGCAGAAATTCCTGACAATTCTTTGAAACTGCTCAATTATGATGTTTTCTCGTATGCTCCGCCTCAATGCAAGCACATCACGCTTGATGGAAGGGACGTGAACGCCGAGCTTCACGATTAGGTTTTCTTCCGCTATTTTCATGCTTATCATCACGCAATTCTTATTTTAGTAAGACACTAGACTTACCTGCAGCAGTCAGTTCTACGACGTCAGTCCCGAGTCGAAGAGCACGCCACTCTGGGACTGAAGTTGGTATGCCTATCTCGTATAAGAGCTCTACTGTTTCTCCCGTGCGGTTTGCCAGTCCTTCGATTACTCTGTAACATGGTTTTCAAATTAATGAAAGTGAACTGCAAAACCTAGACGATATCAACTCACCTTCTTCGTAAGCAGCCTATCTGGAAACTCATCCAACGCTTCAACCGTTTCTCGTGCTAATAAATCAAAAGAGGCAGGAGTCCGACGTGCGCTCAGTACAGGGCAATAAAGGAGAGAAAAAAATAAGACTGACCAGTAGCAGCTTCAATATTTCCTTATTGACGACCGCCCGCGCATCCTTGTTTTCAATCTTCTCAAAATCTTCCGTGAGCTGACACACATAGCTTCGTTTAAAGTCATATGTCTTCGCGACATGGAACGGTTTGTCTCTATAAAAAAGGGGCGCTAAATGAAAACATGAACATGCAAAGAATTTCAGAACGATAAACAAAATGTACGCACAATCATTCTCTTTCGTAACAGCAATAGACACATCGCGGTGACCGGTATCGATTCCTTTCAGAAGGTTCAAGTAAACTTTCTCTTCAAGGCTATTTCAGAGATCGTGAGCAATGCAGAATTTTATATATAAGGTCCGAACGCACCTCGAAAGACAATGCACGCACATCCGCCTCCGCTCTCTTAAATTAAGCGTGTTTCTCGGATTTCCACAGTTCTGAAGCGCGTGCATAAAGTTTTAGCGAAGAGTATACGAAGATTAAAGGGGTGTATGAAACCGTACCATACAGACGGATAGAAAGACGAGCCGCATGTATTGGATCTGAGTAAGGTCTGGCGGGCACTCGGGCATGCGGACCGCTCTCCCAACCTTCGCCCAAACCATGTCGGACACAGGCGACGGCCCACTCAGAAACACGTAGAAAGTCATGCAGGTGAATGCCAGTGACAAAAGGGCTTGAGGCGAGGTGAAAGACGCAAGCTATGTGAGCGGGTCGTGACGTTAGTTTCGGTCCATCAGAGTTGAGCATTAGGAGAGTGCTGTGGCTGTCGACGATACATACCTCTAGGAAGATGTCCGGAGGCAAGTTCATGATCTTTTGGGCTTGATTATGCCTTGTGGCAGGAGACGAGCTCGTGGTCCTGGAAGAAATATGCTCTATGGGTGAGATATTCAAAATATCCGGCGACGCCGGACCCTCGTCCATTCTCTGAAGCTTCGAGGCCTGGCTATCGTCACTTCTCAGAAGTATGTCAGCGCCTAAACAAAGTCTCGTATCAGCAAACGAGCTCACTCTGCACTCCTGTTCATTATTAAGAAGTCTGGGTATGACAAGAAAGTCTGGCACGACAAGAGACGGATGTGGTTGGGAAGAGAGAAAGAGGAAAGTGTGGTTGAGCCTGTGATGTCTGAGTTATGTGACTGTTAGTTTGTGTGGCCAACAAGTTTCAAAGGAGACGTCTATTGTTCCCTGTTGAGGCGCAAGTGACATGCACGTGTACACAATATTAAATGAACCTAAATGAACCCACCTTCATTCGAACTTTGTCGATAGCTTACTTTTTAGTTGTTGTCACCATGCGTGGTGATTTTCGATGATTTTGACAAGCTACTCGGAAATTCAGGTTTCAAGCTACTTGGACCTAGTATATAATCCGGGGACGGGCCTAGAAATACCCTGCTCCCTGCTCGAAAGGCTTCAGCCACAATTGGGGGGGGGGGGGGGGGGAGGGGTTAAAAACCTTGTTCGACATGTCTTGACAAACTTTGAGATTTTGATGTGCCTGAAAAAGCTAAAGATACCGTCAAACCCTCACTAGAAATCGCCGAGATGAGATCTACGATGCAGGTTCTTCTCATATTCTATCTCAATTATTTCTACTGGAATATAAGGCACATTTCTGTTAAGTCAGCTTCGTATACACCTTGATCATTGGATCTTGAAGTACGCTCACCGAAAGGGAGATCGATGGCGACAGCTCCCCGAATATATGCGTACTATGCCCAGGTCAATCAGGAAATTGCTTTGGTCTACGGTAGCTGCAATTTATGGGCGCGTCCTATGACTCCTGTCCTGATGGAAATTGACGCAAAATGTCATTTGTTGGAAGATGTTGTTTACGACGGTAACGCCTCAGGCCCTCAGCGTGTAGTGAGAAGGATGTCATCTCGTAATCACAATCACACGAGTTTGATGGAAGTGTAACTGGCACCGTCGCATAAACTTCGGAACATCATTAACATGGCTACAATTTCAAATCATTCCGCTGTCTTGATGCACCCGCCCTTCCGCGATATGATTCTGGCATTTTGGAAAAACATGTATAATGCTTACATCCTTTGTTTTCGTGGACAGCCTCGCAATGCCTTATGCCTCGGACATGGTTCTAACTTCTTCGCAAGTCCTGCTGAGCTATCCATTTGCGTTCGTCATAGGAAGTTTTTACAGACTCCCATCTGTGCATTACTTGAACATAAAAAGTTACAACGACCTCACTTGTATCCTCCCCCACATCGCCCTAGGTTTTAATCAATAAGGTCGCAGATTATATACGATCCGAAACCTTACAACGGACATTACATGTCTAATGGAGGGACTGATCGGTAAACCTTCATCTTAAAGCTTGGAAACTCACGTACCTCAGTTGTATCCAGTGCGGATCGTCATGCTTCGAGAATTAGGCCGACTTCTCCTGCGTCTTGTCATTGGTCCCTTTTGTCTTGTTTTCCGACTCTTGCTCTTCCTCGGTACTGTCGTAAACAATCTCTTCCTCCGACTCGCACTCGGTTTCATCCGAGTCATACTGCGAGCCAGAATCCTCTGGGATCTGATCGTTCGCTATGCCGCCAGGGCCATACAACTTAGGAGGATCACCACATTTGCTGGAAAATCGAATGTGCATGTCAGCACGATGGGGACAAAGAATGGTTATAAGGATGGACTTACTCGGCGTTCCAAGTGCGGGCCATCGTACTTTCACTAAAAAAAGCGAGAAAGAAAGGGGAAGTGAGTGAGGACGAAGGGGCTGGGTATCTTCAGTGAAGGGCAAGAGCGTATCTTTCATGTTTTAATATGTAGCCGGTGTGGCTTGAGCCACTTTGTTCATGTTTGGGTTTTTGATCACGAACAATAGAAAATAGCCGCAAGGCCTCACAACCCAAGCGCCTTACATAGAATACGCATATCGGCAATTATGTGGCCTGCACAAGTCAAAGTGCTATACAAGAAAGCAGCTTCTGAAGTCCAAGAAGTAGTCAGTCTTTCTTTTTCTGAGGCTCTTGTTCGTTTGTAGATGAGTTGAGAATACCTCGTTTGTTTTGTCGGGGGAAAATATACATGCACAGCGGTGGCCAGCACACCGGCCTCAGCCACCGCGGGCCAGACCAGAAAACAACTAGGATTAAGCTTCTGTAGGGGATGAAAGATGGTATAAGCTACCCCGAGCTCGTTTGGATGAGAAGTTCAGTATCAGATTTGTGGTATACGGCCTTGATGTTTCTGAGATGGCGGCGGAGACTGACGACGCAACCTATATATAAACTATGCCAACCATGGGAGTGAAACGAATGTGAGCATAAGCGAAATTATATTCGATACTGAAGGCTCTTTAGTAAGTGACAAAAAGTAAGTGGACGAGTAAGGCGATTTGAGGTTTACTTGGCAGACGTCAATGTGTTTTAGCTAGAAAATATCGTAAAGGCTGCCATAAGTCACTGTAAACTTAACAGCAATTTATGGATGCTTTGGCTACGAGAAATAGTTTCGCGCGCGCGTAGTACTGAATCGCAGACTTCGATCCTTTATAGACCGTGATTGAAGTCGATGCATGGGCCTCATGATGTGAAGGTAACGGCTAGCAGAGATGGCTGACGCTCTCCCAGGTATATCACAAAAAGTGCCAACAAGTAGGGATTTAGACATGGTGTGATTGCAGAGGTTGATTTACAAATGATAGACTAGGTCGGTAAAGCAAAATTGTAGTGCCAGGTCGATGCAGGCGTCGAGACATCTAGTCGAGGTATAAGGTCATGCATGGAAAGAAATGACTTACGGAAATCCTTTTCGTCAGGTTAAGTGCATCTGAGAAACTACGGAGGTTCTGTTCTGTTCGTCACCCTTTGCGATCTGCTAATCTTCTCTGCACCCGTCTACCGTAGAAAAAGCTCCCGATCTGATTTGTACACGATTGTCATGAAACATTGAGCGCACCACCATCGTCTCTGACCAAGTGATATATTGACTTAGCTTTCACTAGGAAAGTCCTTATCCTCCAGATATGAACATAGATCTAGCCATCCATCTTACACTGAGGGACCTTCTCGCACTTCTCGTTGAGTACATACTATCTGAAGCCATCGACGTCTTCGATGATAAAGCTTAAGACAAGAAGAGAGAGCAAGCATTTGACTGCTTTCCGTACGAAATTGTAGCCGACGCGTTTGGAATAGGCTCAGGAAAGACTAGAGTGCGGATGCCTTCGACTTGTCCGGAGCAGAAACGAATGGGTGAGTCCGACCTCAGATATAATGGATCGAACTATGTGATCAGAGATTTACATTTGATACTCAATGTTAAGTCTCTGTCGATTAGTGGTTAAATCGCCACGTTGTGGCCGTGGCGCCGTGTGTTCGATTCACACCAGAGACATTCCTTGATAGATGCTGTTCTTTTCTCCGTATTCTTCAGATGCTTAAGTAATCAGAAATTTGAGTCTCGCTGGACTTTTGCCGGTCGGCGCAAACGTGGTTGCCTCAGTCCAAATGCCAGTGCCCCTTCCGACGACTGCTCCTTTGGACGTCGACGACCGCCGCTTGGTTGGTGTGCATGCTGAACGTGTCTCGGATGTCTCAAGTGCCGACTTTCCTGGTCATTACCCTGACGAGGACCATAGCTGGAGCCTGGACCGATTCAAGGAGGTGTGTTTCCCGCTTTATTTATTGTCCATCGTGGAGGAGATCATGGCGAGGGTCGACGATGGAATGGGAAAAAGCACGGTTGAATTGCTGATCAAAGACTTGCTTTGGCTTCTGACTTCAGAACCTGCGCCTGGATGTGACCCGCCTCTCACAGCGCAGTATCGAGCTCGATCTCGTCGGCCTCGACGCGTCCGTCGCAAACGCGATACGACGCACGCTCATCGCTGACGTGCCGACGCTGTGCATCGAAGCCGTCTACGTATGGAACAACACCAGCGTGATCCACGACGAGGTTCTCGCCCACCGCCTCGGGCTCGTCCCGCTTAATGTCGATCCCGGCATGTTTGAGATGCGCGACGGCAAGCCCCGCTTGCTTTATTTGCGTGGATATGTATGCTGATAGTCTTTGGGATGCAGCGACTGCGCTGCCCACGGACCGCAACACACTCGTATTCAAGCTAGACGTTACATGCACACGTAAACGTGCCGCCCCCGCAGGGGCCACCGATCCAGATGTGCTCTACGAAAACCATCTTGTCACAGCGGGCATGCTCCGCTGGGAGCCGCAAGGAGAACAGGCCGACATTCCTCAATTTAAGGTGTGTTTCTGACCATTCCTCTTTTGTTCCTTTTCTTTTCCCCATCTTTTGCAAAATCTTCTCGTCCTTCATTTATCTCGTATTTCATCTGTTCTCTACATCTCTCTTTCGTACATTTTTCATTCCGTCCCAACTTTCTTTAACCTCAATGCCGCATTGTGTCATAGAGAAAACCGCCAGGACCCACCAATCCAGATATCGTGCTCGCGAAGCTGCGCCCCGGTCAGACGATTGAGATGGAATGCCATGCAGTGAAAGGCGTCGGAAAAGAGCACGCAAAATGGAGTCCGGTTGGTGAGCTTTTTTTCATCACCTTGTCACCTCTTTCAACCAAGTGCCGAATACCCCTTTTCCCTGCTTCGATGTGCTAGCGGATGATCTTAGCGCGGCGGTTTCTTGTTTTCGCCGATGCCTAACTGCATTATGACCTATGACTTCATTTCTATTCTCATATACGCATTATCTCGACTTGCATCACTAACTGGTACTTATCTTTTCGCCTCATTTCTCTCCCTTTCTTCCTTTGCCATTCGATTATCCGGAGATCAGCGACAGCGTCGTACCGTATACATCCGTACATTTCCCTCCTGCGCCAGCCGCCCGCACACCTTGTGCGCGAGTTCGCAGCGTGCTTCTCGCCTGGCGTCGTCAAGGTCATTGGAGCGGGGACACGTAAGCGTCCGTCCGACCCCTCAATTCCTTCTCCACTGACCGTGCTTTCTTTCAAATCGGTTTATCAGCGGACGCGAAGGTTGAGCTCGACCCGGCGAAAGTGCGTAACGAAAGCATGAGCCGCGAGGTGCTACGCCGCACGGAGTTCGAGGGGTGCGTCAAGCTCGGGCGCGTACGAGATTGGTTCCTGTGTGCGTTGAATTTCTCCTTCTTTCTTCCCTGCCTTTTCTCCTAAACGATACTTCGCTAACATACCACTCAACCAATTCCGTCTGGCCTTTTCGTAGTCAATGTCGAGTCCGAAGGTCCCTACGCTCCGCAGGACCTCTTCCCAACAGCCATCAAGGTGCTCCGCACGCGCATCGGCGTGCTCAAGCGTGCTGCAGAGGCGCTCGCGACGGGGGCGACGACGAGGGCGCCGCAGAAGGAGGGGACGCTCACGGAGCGCAGGGCGGGGATGCGGACGTCGTAATGATGGACGCGTAAGAGACACGGCCCTTTACCTTCGTCGCGGCATGTTGACCGATGACGACATCGTAAGGTGAATTTAAAAAAATGTACGATCGCTCTCCGGTCAGCGACTCGAGTCAAACGCTACGCAAACTGAATCGCGGACTCCATCCCTCAAGTCGAGAAACTCCCGCAGTCTACGGGGAAAGGGTGGGATTCGATTTTGCGGTGTACGAGATCTAGGGAAGGAGGAGTCGAAAAGGAGAGGCAATGTGATCGTTTTGTCTAGAGAGCGCCCAAGCTCGTCTTCCGAGGAAAAGTATCTGTACTTCTACTGTGCTCCTATTGGGGATTATCGAGTTATTGCATTGCTCTAACATACTAATTTACAACTGTTATCTGGTAAAGTGAAGCACAGCACGCGCGGATTCTTACTGAGCAGACAGGATGCGGGAGGAAGGAATCTCAGAGTCGCCATTGTGATGCTACTTACATGTATGTACAGTTAGATCCAAGTTTCCTATCTTGCATATACACTTCGTCTTTCTCTCCCAAACAAAATCGCGTACAGCTTATAAACATCTCGATACTTCTGTCGACTAACACCTGCGGAGAAACTAACCGGAAAACAGGAATGCTGCGTAGAAACACACGAAACAATGAAGGAATTGCAAATGATTGCCATGGCTGGCAGTCGACAAATCAGTCGACTACACGTGATCGTGAGGATATGTACTTCAGTGGGCATCGTGTCATCAGGCTCTCGCAGGACTCACCATGACTTTCGACATGCCTTGTTCAAACATACGATCGCTTCCAACGGAAATTGTTCAAATCGTCGCAGTTCTTTTGCTTCCTCGATGTCTCGAAAATTCTGAAGGAAAAACACTTGCGGCATTTCTCTTCCATTTTACACACGTGGATATGTTGGACTTGGTTAGCTTCGCAAAAACCTGCAAGAAATTTTGGGATATATGTCTCCCATTTGTGTACTCCTTCGCTCATTTGCACTGCACGAAGCGCGCGGAACTTCTCGAGGCACGAATTCAGGAGCTAGGCCTGCAAATGAGCACAGTCAAACATATGTACGCGCAACTATCTTTTCGTCGTTACTCGTTGCTCCTGAGCCATAGCTAATGCCTTGCTCAGAACAATTTACGTAAAGGAATCGGAGGAACCGAAACCTGATCTTTTATCTGATCTATATAAATTCACGGGTGTGACTACGTTGTATCTCGATGGTGTCCATTTGTGCCAGGTCACGATCCGTGCACTCAAGCACCTGCATCAATTAAGGATGTTAGGCCTTGATATTTGGAGTCCTTTAGAGGATAATGGGATTCCAGGTGACGATGAGTTCGAGTGCGTACCTCCGCTCAGCACGCTAAGGCTGGGCTTATACCTTTTTGACAAATATGCACGTACTGCCGTTATACCGCTCCTTCGAGCTGTCCAAGGTAGTCTCAAGGAGATCTCTATCTCTGGCCCGTACCCTGGCCGTGGCGGAGATATCATCCACCAGCTGGATCTCCACAGAATGACATTTCCTAATCTCAAAATCCTCAAGATCTACCATATCCCCTTCCTTCCCTCTTCGCTTTTTAGCTTCGTAAAAAACCATCAAGATACCATCGAATACTTTGACGTTACTTGTAATGACAATGCACCAAAACCTCTCACCTTATCCTGGCTCTCTCTCGCCTGCAAAAGTATCGTTGACACGGATGTCCTGATTGCGCCTATAAGAGAGATTTTACGTGGTGAAGAGTTAGGAGTGGATGACCTTGACGGATGGGAACACTTAACGATTAAGAGCGTTTCAGTCGCGTTCGAAAACGTGCGCTCCTCGCCGAAGCTTTCACATATTAACTCTGGCAGGAAGAAGGCAGGCAGAGCCCTTACGGACCTCAGGATCAACTTCAGGGCCGTAAACAATAAACAGCCGGAGATGCGACTGATCCAAGAAATGTTCAGCCAACCGATTTTCGGAAGACTCAAATTCCTGTCTCTTCTCGTCCCGTACCGTTCGACTATTTCGGATATTCTGGCACGTAGCCTTTTTCTACTATATTTACTGAGTAATCTCCTTTGCTTATTCGTCCTAAACAGAGCGCGCTTGCTATGTCTTACAACAAAAACGATTCAATCCTGAAGACCGTAGTCCTCACATGGAATTCGTCGATGATGACGATGTGCTCTCTGACTGCATGCATTGATAAGGACTGGACCGCTTATGATAGCGCGGTCAAACTTAAGGACGCTTCCGACCTTCTGTGGACCCAGTGGGAATTGTCTAACTATCGCGTGGTACAGGGCCTTGTCTCCGCGTTCCTGGGCGCGTGTCCGAGCGTCGAGCGAGTCGAATGGCAAATCGAGTACGAAAGGGGACGCTGGACACGGTCTTGGATTTGGACGAGGGACACAACTTGCAAGGGAGTGCTGAGCGTCGATGCGGATGCTGGAGACCAGGCCAATGCGCAGGTGTACGCGCCAGTCATGGGAAGGCTGAATTGCATGGGCATAAGGCTGCGTAAGCCCAACTGACCGAGACTATTAACTCCCAGCTCGGATCCGGAGTCGCTTCCGAGGGATCAACATTCCAATAGATCGGTATTATCTACGCCTATATCGCCTCCCCTTCCCGCTGCAAAGTGCGCGATTGTGCAAGAGTGCCATTAGGAGGACATACTAAGCATCTAGTTCTAACAGTGAATCTGCTTGTACATTATATATCACGAATAAAAACGCCCACTTGTACCTAATACTCCGTCCCACGTCTGTCCAGATCAGAATCCACCGAGAAATAAACAAGGAAAAGCACATGCAATTGTGCCCCACATTCATGCAACCGCAAGCACGAGTAGCGCGCCTCCCAACAATCCCACGAACTGCAAATCACGGAATCGGACGCGCGGGCTGTTCGCACCGCTCTCCTGCCTTCCACCGCGCTCAAATGACCCATCCGAGTCCGAGTCACCCGACCCCGTGCGCCAGGGCGTCTCGCTCATTT